CCCTTTGGACTACCTGTGCAGGACTGGTACAGAGAACACCCCCACTGTCTTTAGGACACCCCTGCACTGCTTCCCCCTCACTTGCAAGTGCAGCTTAAGGACTAGAGGGCCTTATGCTAACCCTTCACACCTGGATGGATTTCAGCCAGTGTGCTCTGGATTCAGTAAGCTGAAACTACTTGACATTGGTGTTCTGGAAATCTAGCCACTGATCATTGCTATAGGTCAGTCAAGACTTTATTCACGCTGCCCCCTACCTGCATAGGGCAAAGGAGTGATGAAGTGGCAGAGAATGGGAGCCTCTATGAATGTTTTTAAATCAACTTGTCGGTGGTTCAGAAAAGTAGGGAATTGGAATGGGCACAAACAGTTTACTTTTTAAAAGGAAAGTAAACTTCTGAGGATGGATTTTCAGAGGCAATGATGCATTTTCTTTAATGCACTTCTTTCTCTGCTATGCACTGCATCCGTTCCAGAAGCCTGCAGCTATCGGGATTATAAAACTACACTATTGCAAGCACAAAGATAATGGTATAGACTTTGCCCTAGGCAAAGGATGATAAATGGCCCCAGCGAAGCACATCTTTGTTTCAGACTATTACACACAAATACACACACACTCAAACTACTATAGAGATTAAAATTCTGAAAGAAACACATCTTGGCAAAAGGAAGCTTCATGAACAACCTCACTTCAGGCAGCCTATGTATCTCTGATGATTTCAGTGTTTCCTTTTGATTTGATTTTATGAAAAAGAAAAAAGGGAGATTGTTATTACCTTTCTTAGGGCACATCTCCACTGCAGGGCAAAAGTTGAATTAAGATATATTACTTCAGCTGTGTCAATTGTGTAGCTGAAGTCAAAATAGCTTAATTCGGCTTTTGGTGCTGTCTACACAGCAGGAAGTTGAAGGAAGAGCACTCTTCCTTCAACTTTCCTTACTCGTGAAATGAGGGTTACAGGAGTTGGAGTAAGAAGTCCTCCAGCTCGACATTATTTTGAAATACTGGCTTGCTGTGTGCACTGTTATTTTGAAATCATGTCAGTCATAACAAAATAGTGCTGCTATGTAGACATACCTGTCAAGGCTAATTCCCCACTCTGTCATGATGAATGCAGAAGTGGGGGCCTGCAAAGTACCCCAAAACTTTATCTTTCCAGACTTTGGTATAAAACTTCCCCCCAAAATCTTAAAAACCTAGATTTTGGGGATAAAAATCCGCTGCCACCACCCAAGTAATGGTAAGAAAACTGGGAAAGAGATCACTTAGGAAATCTCAGCCCTAAAATACCATAGAACCATAGAGCTGGAAGAGACCTCAGAAGGTCATCAAGTCCAGTCCCCTGTTCTAGGCAGGACCAATCCCAGGACACAAAAATTAACCAATACCAGGTTAATAAAAAAGAAAGAACTTTTATTATCACCACAATACTCCTGTTACAAGCATAATGACTAGATGGAAAAGTCACCAATTAATATACGCATGGGCCAAAAACTTAGTTACAAAGCAGAGGAAACCCCATTTTTAAATGCACAGACATCAGCTATTTCAGATCCCAAATCACTAACAAAATGTGTGCATTTGTAGAGGTGAAAATAAGAAATAGGTTTTAAAAGCTAAGCCTAAGATTTTCTAAAGTTACTCTCTTTTATCAAAAAGGCAGGAGTCACCTTA